GTAAATTAAAAGGTCCCGACGACCCGAACTGTCACTCGGTATAAGACTGTGGTCTGTGGGTCGAAAAGGGTAAAAGGAAAACCGTTGTTTCTCTCTTGTAGTAAAAGATCCCCAATTTCTCATTCTCTCCCTCTCTCGGATTATCCCAAAATCCGGCTCGAACGAGCTCTCCCTCTCTACGGGGGAATCCTGCACGAAAGCCTAACCCTAGCCTTCTGGCTAGGGCTACAAATGAGCCGATCTACTTGCGAGCAACTCGAGTTTCGAATCGGAAAAAACTCGTTCGAAAATTCACTTGTTTACTAACAAGCCAAGATTGAGCTTAGCCTTGTTCAACTTGTGAAGCTCACGAGCTAGCTCGACTCGGTGGCTTGTTGAACTCAACTCGTGAGTTGGCTCATTTAGAGCTCAAGAGATATTTCAACATTGTGGTTTGAGTGCCAACTTGACCACCGACTTATGGATGAATCGATCTAATTTGGACTTTCATAATTCATAGGATTGTTAAATTATATATCTCACATCATGTAAAGTTTAACATGTTGAACATGTAAGAAAATATGCCTTACTTTTAATTCTATAAAGAAATTATGTACAAAATTGTTTCGATACTATGAAATAGGTTAAATTACAAGATTGGTCACTAAAATTACTCAACAAGTTTACGTTTGCCACTAAAATTAATTTATTCCACAGGTAGTCACTTAAACTAGGTTAACAATTCAAGTTTGGTCACTGGCCGTTAGTCTCCGTTAACTTTTGCTGATGTGACGGTCAAGTCTTATAGTTGACCGTTAAATGAGATACGTGGTAATTAAAAAATAATAAAATATAATTATTTTTTATTTTCCAAATAATTATAATAAATTTTCAAAAAAATCTAATCCCACGGCCGGTGGTGGCTCTCGCCCTGGCTACTCCCCAGTGCCAGCATTTTCACGGCGACCATTTTTGTTTATGAGCATTGACCGATTCTTACATATATTATTTATCAACCCCGCACACAACAACATCATATAAGCACACAAAGATGTAAACTTTCAAGGCCAAACGGAATCAGAGAGATATTGTAAGAAAACCCAGAAGTCAGAACAGAGGGAACTAACCAGGTGCCAGAAATCCCATCGACAAGGCCATTAATTCTATCCCCAGTAACTCAACCAGCTCTCATAACCTCATCCGCGACATCCAAATCGATCGCCTCGAGCGCCGCCAGAGCATTGCTCTGTATCTGAATCGACCCTCTGTACTGCCCCTCCCCTCTAATAGCTCTCCAATCTCTCTCGAACACTATTACTTCAAACCTTTCTTCTTCGCTAGCAAACTATTTGTTTAGTGACGTGTCTAATTTAATCTCATCCCTAGTTTGAACATTACGACAGACAAAGCAAGTATGGAGGCGAAGTCAGGGGGAAGAAACGGAATTCGATATTCCAGACGTGGGCGAGGTGCAAGTCGTTAGGCAAGGCCGGGTCGGCGGAGGGGGAGACGGAATTGAACCGGCGACGGAGGAAGAAGGGACAGATGGTGCCGGAAGGGTGTTTCACGGTATACATGTGGGAGAGAAGCAGAGGTTTGTGGTGAAAACAAAGTACGCCAACCACCCTGTTTCGGGTCCTGCTGGAGAAGGCGGAGTTGGAGTTCGGGTAGAGCCCGGAAGCCCGCTGGTGCTGCTGTGCGATGTAGCGTGCTTCTAGAAGTTGCTGGTGGCGATGGACTCGGAGGATGAGGAAGAGGCAGGGGAAGAAGAGCTGTCTCGGAGGTCCACCGAATTTCTTATCTCGAATTGGGTAATGGGAGCGGGGAGACGAGGACGGGTCCCGCGATGAGGGAAGCAGATCAAGTCAGTAACTGATAGGTCTCTAATCCATTAGTAATCCCTTCTCTTGTCCCATGTGTCAGTCCTTTTATTATTTAAATTAAATGCAAAAGGGCAGTAAGGTAAAATTGCACTTACCCCTATTTATCGCTAACGTTGACTTTTGACCGGACCACATGAGTGCCTCCTTCTCTCTTCTCGAAAAATCTTTAATTTTCCTTCTCTTAATCTTTAACAGACGATTTCTCACTCGTTTTAAGTCGGAATTTAATTTTTTTTGCACAGCTAGATCATATTAATTGTGTTCTTCAAAATAATATCCACTTTGATTTTTCGTTATCACACAATACCATACATTACCATATGGTATAGTTTGGTAATATCAATATATATTTCGTTACCACTCAATACCATATGGTATAGAGTCACAATATCAATATATATTATCTAAAAGGAAAAAAAAACAGAAGGAGGGAGAGAAAAAAATCGTCTTCTATCGCCTCTCATTTCCTCTTCCGCAATCAAGAACTCTAAAATACTGAAAAAATGAGAAAGATCGGAATTGAGGCCAACGAGTTGATGAAGAGAAGAAATGCAATGAAAGAGAGTGGCTACAATTTTTATTCGTCCCAGAGAAAAAAAATGAAGAAGAAGAGAAGGGAGCAGATTTAGATCTAGATAGGAGATTGAGAGGGAAAGAGAAAGAATCTGGAAAAGAGATTGGGAGAGAAGAAGGAAGAGAGAAAGACAAATGAGAGTTGCAGATAATCGATGGAAGATTGACGGGGCTCCTTGTGGCGCGGTTGACTCTGCTTCGTCGTAGAGCTCGTGGCGTTCACGATAAGAGGACCTGATCTCGGCTTCAGTTGTATTATGTTCGTGGATTGATTGGGGTTAGTTTAATCTTTGTCCCTGCATACTGATGAGCTCCCTTGTTCGGGATACACAGTTCGGAATCAGGGTTGAAGATGTCAGCTGGCTATTAAATCCTGCACCCAGGGGTTGTAGCGCCAATTGGGTGGGGTCACAGTTTTCTGATAAACAACGTTGTGATTCTGGAGGTGAATTTGGCAGCAGTTTGGATAGAGACGATAGTGGCCTCTTTTTATGGTTCTTGAGTATTCGTGCTGGCCGGAGTAGCGTCAGAAAGCTCCTGATTAGTTGGTTTGGTTTGAATACCTTTTGATTGAGCACTTCGAAGAATCTAGAGGGGGAAAAAGAGTTCAACTTTAGTGTATAGATGTTTCAATTTTGTTGCCATTGAGTTGTTGAGTTGAGCTGAATACAAAGATCCTATTTTTAGGAGGCCTTTACTTTCTTTCTATTTGGTTTGATTTTTGTTATATATCTAATCTTCTGATCTGATTTGACAAATAATATAAGGAGATTCTTCTTCCCAACCCATCTCATTCCCTTTTTCCTGGCTTGTGCATAGAATAAGGAAGGGTTTGTTGGTCTTTTGCTTTTTTTTTCTTTGATAATTAGCATATGGGTTTCTTGGATATTTGTGGGCCTGAATGATTTAAATTCTATAATTTTGGGCATGGAATCGTCATTAAGAAAAGTCAAAATAAACAAAGCAAAAAAAAGCACCTTATATTTCCAACAAAGCTAAAAAAAATTCCAAAATAACTTACACTTCAAAATAGTGGCAGAGCCCAGTCAATTTTTATATGTAGATAAAATTTATACGTAAAATGTATAACAAATTCTAAATTATGCGTCCATGGCTTTATGCCACATGTGATTTTGGAAGAAAGAGAATGAATTGAAAATGAAACGTGGAATTAAGGTAAATGTCCTTTACAAATTTAAAAATAATGTGCTTCATACAATTTTTACTATTGTTTATGTCATTACCATCATTATAAAGATTTGGGATCCACCTCCGAGTTGTGGACAAACCAACTCAGGCTAACTTTGTTGCTATCAATCGAGGGGGCAATCAACTTTTCGAAATGTCAATTGGGAGAATATTTCAAGACACAATAGAACGAGAGGACCACCAATGGCTCATCACCTACAATTGAGAGAATGACATCAACGTTCAACATCAAGCTCACATATTACAACGTCTCTAACCCAACAAGTTAGTAAACCATTTCCTACAAAGAAAAAGGATAAGTAAGAGCATAACTCAGAGGAAATGCATGAAACAAGAAAGGGATTATTGAAATGCAAGAGAAGAAGGAAAAGTCAATTGATATCAGAGATAAATGTGTCACTAATGGAGATGAATACATTATTACCGGTGGCGATGACAATGTTACTCATGGCGAAAGAAATGCATACAACCCAAAATGAAAACATGCAGTAATCTCTGACAATGACGGGTAAATAGAAAGAGTTCATCAAAAAAATTTATGAGTCGGTTCCCTAGCATGGAGCTGTAGTTCAATTTAGTAAAAAAAAATAATCGATGATTCAGTTACAATGTCGGAAAACACTACGATGTTGATCCTTTTGAATTAATTTGGATTTTTGATAATTTTAAAATTGATTTTCTATACTACCAAAGACATGCGTATATCATGTATAAATTGGTACTGCTATTTACTTTATTAGCAAATAATCCGGCCAATTGGCCGGGTACGTGACTAGTATATTGTTGGGGGTGTTACTAAGAGACTCCGCGAACAGACTAAGTAATACCGCGTCCAAATCGACATCGTATGACGCTCGAAACCCGCTACGGGTATATAAAGGTATGAAACCCATCAAGAAAGTGGACTTCTTCTCTCTCCTCACTTTCCACTTTCCATTATCTCTCTACACTTTATCTCTCTAACTGATTCTCTCAACTCTCTCCTGACACTTAAGCTAACTTGATCATCGGAGCTTAATCCGGTGGGAATCCCCGGCTCTTTCACAGGTTTCTTCCCTCCCGACGAGATCAGACGAATGGATCGTGAGTCAACCCCACACCAACAAATATTATTGTTCATACCGGAGCTAGATGGTACAAACAATTGGCGCCCACCGTGGGGAAGATTCATCGACCTCGTTCGTTTGATCTTCAAAGGGCGCGAGACGCAAAGAGGATTGGACTCCCAAGCAAAAAACAAAAGAAAGGAAACGAAGAGTCCACGACAAGTTGGATCTATCTCCTCCAACTGATTGTTTGAGCATCGTTCGTCTCCATTACCCCCGCCGAACCTCTGGTTTCCGATCAAGATTTCTACGGCTGAGAGTGGTGCCAGAGCTGTCCCGTCAGCTGTCACGTCGTCTGTCTGCAACTTTTCTCCAAAAAAACAAGCTATCGCTAAAGTAGTGGACACAGATGTCGAGGCATGCGGTTCCCGATGCAGGGAGAGAGTCGCGACTCAAATTGCGGCAAGCATCTCCGAACACCAAGCTGAAAATGGCCAAGGCCAAGTGCGGCCAAATCAGCTCTGCCCTCCTCGCCGCCATCACTAACTCCACGCTCTACTACGCGTCGCCCGCAGTTAATTCGCACATACACATCCGTGATCGCTCTCCTAAATTGGGAGTGAAAAACAGAGGCGGAGTACGCTCTGAACAAGAAGAAACCAATAAAGAAAGAAGCGAGAAGCTGTATCTACAAAACAAGACCAAAAGAAGAGAAAGAGACCAGACCATAATGGGGTTGACGCTGCCTGGGATCCTCGATCCCCTCCGCAACCCATCCGCGGTGCCGACCTGCTTCCAAGACCAAATACAACTTGCGATCGCTCGTTCATCAACGGCCGCGCGACCGCGGCTTGCATGATTCCACCATCGACTCGCGCTTCAAACCATCGGCGGTGGCGGAAGAAAAGATTCAACTAGAAAAAAAAGAAATTTAAAAAAAAAGGGAGAGAAGGATCTCTGGATGAGAGCGAAACTGTTCGTGAAACAGGAAGGGGATTTGAAAAAAAAAATCTCAAAAGGCGGAAGAAACTAGGACGAAAAATGAAATAAATCCCACTCCATAACGCGGCCAGTCCCGCACGTCCATATGAGCCCACTAGTGAAGGGCCCGCTCCGCATCAAATCAGTTGGGCCTCCCGATCCTCCTCAATGGACCCAGTTCGCTACAAGCCTTCAACGCACTTCTGAAAAAGAAAAAGCAACAGCGGTGAATCGAACCCACAACACTCGTTCAACACTCAAACAGACTGACCAGTACACCAGAAGAATTTCTTGTTAATTAATGCGCGCCACTATTATTTGAAGTATGCACTGCCACTAGTCCCGCGGCCTCAGTCAGTGAGTTCCGCCAGCATCGAGCTCACGGCCGGCCACGCGCGCCATATGGGCATTTCAGAGCATTTTCGCATCGTGCAGCCCACACACGTCACATGGGCTCGAGCGGGCGCAGGGCCCACACACAACTTGCGGCCCGCTTCACCTCCAGCCCAACAACACTCTCGCGACTATTGGGCTCGCATCTCATCACTTCCAGCTAGCTCCCAGTTCCATTTAACTCGGCGATCGCCAAGCCCAACATGCTCTGAGCGCTTCAAAAATAATATTGTCGCCGCGACACACAACTCGCGGCTCGCTTCACCTCCAGCCCAACAACAGTCTTGCGACTATTGGGCCCGCATCGCATCACTTCCAGCTAGCTCCCAGTTCCATTTAACTCGGAGATCGCCAAGCCCAACATGCTCTGAGCGCTTCAAAAATAATATTGTCGCCGCGACACACAACTCGCGGCCCGCTTCACCTCCAGCCCAACAACAGTCTCGCGACTATTGGGCCCGCATAGTATCACTTCCAGCTAGCTCCCAGTTCCATTTAACTCGGCGATCACCAAGCCCAACATGCTCTGAGCGCTTCAAAAATAATATTGTCGCCGCGAGTACTTGAACCCGCACCATTTCTCAGAAGGACAAGCAAACTAACTAGCAGGCTACAACTCGAGTTGTGAACTTTCACGCGGCAGCCCTTTTTCAACAAATCTTGCCGCCGCCTCTTCAAGTCAAAGCTAATAACTCGGATCTCCCGGCCCGCGCGGTCAAGTCCTCCCTTCTGTTGCCACTTCAAACTCCACGCATCGCGTGCCTCGACACCAACTCGCGGCAGGACCGCTTTCGGCCGGCTCTAGAGGTAAAGCCCGCCTTGCATCGCGCCCGCACAGCTAGCTTGCGAGCGCGCGCTCCCAACTCGCGGTCGCGGATCAGGCCCAATGCTCGCGTCCCTCGGCCTTCTATGCTGTTCAGGCGCGCCAAGTCCAACAGACAAGGAACTCTTCAACAAAAAAAGAATGTCGTCGCCGCCAGTCCTCGAACCCGCGGCACTCTTCCGCCATCGAAGTGACATTACCAACAAGCTACATACAAGCCTTGTGTTCCAATGGTCCAGCGTCTGCCTTTCAACTACTCCTGCCGCCTCTTCGCCAACATAAAGCTAAGTACTCTATATCTTTATTATTATTATTATTAAATATTGAAATATTTTACTAAGCGTTAAAGGCGCTAATGGGGGGCACATTGCCTTGAAGACTCCAAACTGAGGGTTAAAAACCCTGACGAGAAGAGGGCACAGTGCCTCGGTGAAGCTACAAATAAGTCTCAACGAAGCACACAAATAAGACTTCAATAAGAGAATCGAAGAAGCTACAAATAAGTCTCAACGAAGCACACAAATAAGACCTCAATAATAGCATCGAAGATCTACAAATAAGTCTCAACGAAGCACACAAATAAGACTTCAATAAGTGCATCGAAGATCTACAAATAAGTCTCAACGAAGCACACAAATAAGACTTCAATAAGAGCATCGAAGAAGCTACAAATAAGTCTCAACGAAGCACACAAATAAGACTTCAATAAGAGCATCGAAGATCTACAAATGAGTCTCAACGAAGCACACAAATAAGACTTCAATAAGAGCATCGGTGAATCTACAATATGAGAGTGTTCAACTACCTCTATCTCCAATAAAGGGCACTAAACGTGCGCGATAAGCCCGTTACGTAATCGTGCGCCTGTCACAAGCTAACTTAAGCTAATTTGATCGTCGGAGCTTAATCCGGGGGGAATCCCTGACTCTTACACATGTTTCTTCCCTCCCGACGAGATCAGATGAACGGATCGTGAGTCAACCCCACATCAACAAATATTATTGTTCATACCGGAGCTAGATGGTACAAACATATATGAAGGAGAAATGACAGTGTATTACAAGTTTAAGAGTGCAAAAGATTATGATTTAATCCCAATGGACGGGCCCATTATATCTGTTGGTACTTTGAAAGAAAAAATATTTGAATCAAAGCACCTGGGCAGGGGTATATAGTTCGATCTGGTGGTGACTAATGCCCAAACTAATGAAGGCTGGTTTCGTTCTTCGTCGTTTAAGTTGTAAATGAAACTAAATTCTAGATATAGATAGACTTCGGGTGGTTTCTTGATGTTTGTGTTAGTACTCGATGCGTCCTTGTGAACCCAGGAGTCAGACAACGAAGTCATTCTGATATCATTGGATTAAGTGCTTTAAATAGTTGAAGCACATTTATTAGTAATGTAGTTGTCCGCTTTCCATTTGGTTGTTCTTAGATAAGGAAGTGGCATTGTGATCCATGCTTAGTTTTTGTTTAGTGCATTTGTTGAGAAAATTTCCATTAGACGAGCTGTGTACTAGGCATGGTGAAATGATCTTTTGACCTTGGATAAAAACTGGCTTTTATCTGATTAGTCTTGGGTTGTCATGGCTAGGATGGATGGTTTATGAACAGCAACCGTCTAGGTGAATTATAAATTTGGTTTCATCACTAATAATTAGGTTTCAGTATTTTATGGTTGTGTTCTTCTCTGTTTTACTTTCAGAGTATCTTGATGAAACATCCTTAATTCCAAAAAGTACTGCTGTGTTAATTCGTTGAGTTCCTCGCACTCGCATGGCTATTGTTAGATCATCTGCATCAGCTGTCTTTTGTCTATTTCATAGGTGACATGGCATGAAAGTGAGATAGGTCATGGACGTGGGATCTATTTGAGAAAGTGAGATCTTCCACTTTGTGAAATCCCATATGAAATAGCATGTGGCAGGAGAATGGGCCCCTCTTCCCATCTTTTCCTTTTTTTTTTCTTTATCATTTTTGTTTTCTTTATTTGAATTGAAAAGAGTGTAGTGTAGTATTGTTTTAACTTTTATTTATCATTTGCTATCTACAATTTAAGAAAATGAAAAAAAATTATATTAGGTAAATTCATTAACCTTTGATTAATTAAATTTTTAAAATATGAAAACGCAATACATATATATATGTACGTCAATAAAAAAAATTAAATACATATATATATAATACTTAATGAAAACATTAAAAACACATACGACAATACATATATAGAAGTCTTAAACTATAATTAAATAATTACAATATATTATTTTAACTATTTGATACATCTTGAATTGGTAAAATCATATAGGTTAGATAAAATGTGTAGTGTATTAAAAAGTAAGTTGGACCCACCATATGAAATAGATAGTAGATTTCATGGATGTAGAGAGAATGGAAGTGATATGTAATGGAATGAAAAAAGCTGCCGAGGTGGCAGTAGGGGCCACATATGAAATAGAAATGGTGTTTCATTGAGGTGGATGGTCTTACTGAGCAATCCCCGAAGTCAATTGGCCAGTACAATCCCCGAAGTCGCGCCAGTACAATCAAGCATTGCACCTCCAGAAGCTCCTCCAGCCAGCAAGGCTGAAAAGGAATGCAAGATTAAAGCTTCAATTGATACTCCAGCTTTAGATTGGCAGCGGTAAGCGGCCTTTCATTTGGCACAGTTAGATTGATGGATTGTTTGTCTGTCACTGTCTATTGTAACTAGAATCAATACCCATGGCTACACCGCGGGAGATGTAGTTGTATTTGCTATCAGTATAAAACAGTATACATATAACGAAAATGTTAAAAATTATATATAGAAAGTAAGTATTATAAGTTTTGCTAAAATAAACTAAGAAATTTAAAATCTTCTGCCTGCTTTGCAACTTCTATTTCAGGTCTAAAAATTCTACGATGGATTTCTTCTGCTTCACTTCTTTCTTTGGATTGTTCTTCTGGTCTGGAATTTATATCCAAAGTATCCTTTTGGACTCAAATACAATCACTAATTCCTTCTCAGAAAGAAGACTGATCAAAATCAGCATATTTCTTACCAAAAAATAAGAGAACATAAAGCTAGCCCCTCAATAGAAGAAGAGTCTATTAAGCATCTCCAAGTATAAATGAACTCAAATGTAACCTGTAGTTTGGCATGGGAAACCTGCCTAGAAGCCCATTCAAATAGAATACCTGCAAACTGCAGATGCCAGGAATAGTTATACATTAGGCAAAATTAAATGCAGAATTGACAAGCATAAGAATTTAAAACCCTTCCTCTAGAATGATAAAGAAAGCAAAGTTGCAACATCTATTTTGATAATGGAACTTTCTGATTCTGCAGCAACTTGAAGGGGCCTAAAGCTTCACTTCAGCTAATATAAATTCCAGACCAAAATCGTGCATAACAATGCAAAGGAAAATTACGACTAATTTATGGGAGCACACCGGAGAATAAGATAAGCAAATGAACAAAGTATGAGCAAGAAGAAGATAATTTTGTGGATCTGGAGTAACACATAAGACCATACCAACAAGTGTTGTCGGTACTGCTACTCATTCCTGTTGTTGCTGCATACTATTGCTGCTTCTAGAAACAAATATGTGCATTGAAGTTATAAAGCACAAAGCACAATACTTAAAAAACTCGTGAGCAGCATGAGGAAACCACTACGGGAAGCACAATGATGAAGGATGGCCATTGAGAGGAATTGGAGTGACCTCGTTGAATATAAGACTAAGCCTCTGCAACTAACTCCT